GTGATTTGTCTCACAGATTAAGTATTTGCCTCAACCTTCGACTTCGGCAAATAATTGATCTGCTCGCCACTGACAAATCAGCCTGTACAGGTCTATAACGTGTTAGTAATAAGTGACGAGCCAAAAGGATTCCTGCCGAGGGGCAAAAAAAATTAGTAGCTATAGTTACGAGAGATGAGAGAACTCCTTAACCTGGGTACGATAAAAATTTGAAAATTACTCGGGAAATCTTTTTATTGTGGTTCATTTTGTCTTTTCGAGAAACAAATTGGGAATTTTAACCAAATAACTAATTCTTAAAAAAAAAATTTTTCTAAGGGGCTCAGAAACACATTAAAACTGATTATGAAATAAGNCTCAATCGCAGAATAGAGATCTACAAGGCATGCATTAACCATGTAATTGAGATGAATTGGTTAACAAATACCTCATGGTTCAGCTACTATGTTATACGGCTACCTGCAAATTATGGTCTGCTCTTGCCTAAGTCCGTCTAAACGTGTTTTCCTGCCCATAATATTCTACTCATGCGTAAATGAAAGCACGCTCTTGTGTGAAACATCGCAGATCACTGCCCTGAGCTGTGAAAACAATTATTGAACACAGTTACCGGATAGTATCGTGATTTGTCTCACAGATTAAGTATTTGCCTCAACCTTCGACTTCGGCAAATAATTGATCTACTCGCCACTGACAAATCAGCCTGTACAGGTCTATAACGTGTTGGTAATAAGTGACGAGCCAAAAGGATTCCTGGCGAGGGGCAAAAAAATTAGTAGCTATAGTTACGAAAGATGAGAGAACTCCTTAACCTGGGTACGATAAAAATTTGAAAATTACTCGGGAAATCTTTTCATTGTGGTTCATTTTGTCTTTTCGAGAAACAAATTGGGAATTTTAACCAAATAACTAATTCTTAAAAAAAAATTTTCTAAGGGGCTCAGAATCACATTAAAACTGATTATGAAATAAGGTGATTCTGACTACTTCATTACAATATCTTAAAATTAACTTGCTAAGTTTTCTGTGCTTTGTCAATAAGACGAAAAATTATCATATAACGTTCTCCACGCAGCAGTTGATATCAAGGGATTACAGATTTAATTGAACATCTTTAAATTTTCCTGTTGAATCATCGGGCAGATACTTTAGTAGGGAGTGTTAGCAAAACACAACGGCGACGGTAACGAGAACGTCACCGAACAAAAGGTTTAATGAGCAGAACAGTGGTTCTGCACGTGCGTTTTGAATATTTGTACATTTCTTTGCCGTCCTCTGCAAAGCAACAACGTGAACTGACGATGTCGTACGTATTTTGGAGAACGTGTACCCCAATGGCTAATTTGTCGTGTGTTCCTTTGGGATTGAAGGCTGTCAATGTATATTTAGCCTGAGCAGGGCTTTAGACCAATAGGCGAACTGAACAGATCTACACAGTTGTGACATTCGAAGGTAAAATTTATATACTCTTTTGAAAAGGCGTCGTCCTCGGCGTCGCCGTCGTCATTGCTAAAACCAAACACGGGAAGATGACAAGTATCTAGAAAAATATTTATTTACTTGCTTAGTTTCTTGTGCTGTGTTAATTAGACGAAAAATTATCATAGAACATTCACAACGGCGTTTCGACAAAAAAAGAATTTCAGGGAGTTTTACATTCTTTGTCTTTTACAACATTGGGCTGATACTATGCCAAACACGAGAAGATGATAAGTGTTGTAAGCCACCCTCAGAAATAAAATCACTTATCTACAAAACTATTTACGTCATTCACTTATAAATAGAAAGGTTATTTAGCTCGCTGTTATTCACGACAGCTCCGCGGCCTCTTAATATCGCACTGTCTTGAAAGAAAATTGTCGCTGTACTATGTGGCCTCCTCCCCTTCATTGTTTAATAGGTTTCATTTATTTTTATAAATAACAAATAAACAAAGTGATCATACCCTTGATTCCTCCAATAACATAAACATGGTTTGTTTTCTTCCCTCCTCTTCCATCGCTTTTGCACTGACTTGACGTGCCATATTTCTGAAAGGTCTTGTGCGCGGTGGAACTACTTAAGCACATGCCGCCATCTTGAAGAGCAAACACTTTGTTCCCGCGTTGCTTAGCTACAAATGCACACTTTTCTATTGCATCTGTTCTCCGTTTGCAGTTCGCTCTATCCAGACGCGGGTCCTGTCCCTCAAGGTTAGGGATCGCCCGTGACCACGATATGTCTTCGAAACATCCAATTGATGTGATGTTAACGGAATCAGAA